CGCTTAAAGGTATGCCAACTTCTGAATAGGGGTGAGCAAGAAAATTTGAAAAAATCGAACTAAAAATTTGATTAATTGAATTGGTCGGTTTGGTTTCGGTTAACCAAAATAGAAAACCAGTAGTTAACTGAACTGACTCGTATACATATATTTATATATTTATATATATATTTTATATTTTATATACATTATAAACTAATAAGTATGTATTATATATAAATATATATTTATAATATATAATATATTATTTATTATTTAAAATATAATATTTTATATATACTTCTAGTGTTTTATTATATATTTATACATAGTTTTTATAATATATATTTCAAATAATAAAAAATCGACGAACCGATGAATCGAACTAGTCAACCAGTTAACCGATCATCTCTGGTTCTGGTTATCGGTTTTCTAGAAACTAGTAACCTCGGTTTAGTTTTAAAAATAAAACCATAGTTTGGTTAACCAAACCGTGAGCATCCCTACTTTTGAATGACTTTATCTGAAAGGCTTTTCTACTTTGCAACCAGGATGCATGTTCACGTCACTTGCAATTATCTTTACTACAAGCAATCGTCATTGTGGTACCTTCATTTTTCCCATACTTGAAATCAAACCCATTCATAATTGTATAGTTAACCAAAGGTCAAAGCCTTTCAAAAAATTACAGGGTTGGAGAATATCATGCCCACAACCATTTGTGGATTCTCCATTTGCCTCTCAATAAAAGCTTCAAATTGAGGTTGTTTATTTTTCAACAAAACCATGTAAACTTTCTAATTCCTCTAGTTGCTCATATTCATATAGTATGTCTAATCCAATAACAACATCAACATTATCAACTAGAACTTAACTTCCTGTGATAGCACCACCCTCAACATAGTCATTATTACACACTTTAACATCATAATCAGTTTCAAAATCATCTTCCATCTTAAATTCCAATTCATAAGCAAGATCACCTTCTTAAATTCCAATTCATAACCAACACCAAAATCCAATTCATCCACATGAACAACTGCAACGGGTGGTGGTGGCACAACACCAGATGAACCAGATCATCACAATCTAGCTTGTGACAACCCAACTTGTGATATTGTGGCCTGTAAGAACCCTACATTGACACTCTTACACCTTGTAATTAGACCTGTTCATGGGCTGGGTGGCCTGATGGCCTAGCCTGGCCCCTGGATGGGTTTTGATGATGCACGATGCCAAATTTCCCTTCATCAGGTTTGAACATGATTTTTAGCCCGCGGGCTTGACCTCGGGCCTAAAAGCCCGACTCGATTATTTTTCAGGCCAAGCTCAAGATTTGTCATAAAAGCCTGGCTCAACTAGTTTCTAAACCCTAAATCCCTTCTCCCTAACTTGACTAACCTTTCCGAGTTTCCCTTTTTTTGCCATTTTGTCTTCTCATTCTCACTCTTAGAGTCTTAGACACTCTCGCCACCAACCTCTCTCTCCGGCGGTGACCACTGACCAGGTCCTCTCTCTCTCTCGTTATGTTCCTCTATCTATCTCTTTGTCTCTAGCGGTAACCACTTTCTAGGTCCTCTCTCTCTCTCTCGTTATGTTCCTCTATCTGTCTCTTTGTCTCTAGCGGTAACCACTTTCTATGTCCTCTCTCTCTCTCTCTCTTTCACTCACTCTCTTTGGCGATAACTAGGTCCCCTTTCTCTCTCTCTCGTTATCTTCCTCTCTCTGTCTCTCTGTCTTCGGCGGTAACCAACATGTCCTCTCTCTCTCTCTTGTGATCTTCCTCTCTCTATCTCTCTGTCTTCGGTAGTAACTAGGTCCTCTCTCTCTTTCACTCATTATCTTCCTCTCTCTGTCTCTCTGTCTCCAACAGTATTAAAGGCCTAAGGAACAACTGTATCTATATGTACCTCCCAATCAATTCGTACAACAACCCACCATTCTTCTTAGTTCTCACATGGACATTTGTGTTCTCATTTTGTTGGGTCAGGCTTCGGGCTCAGGCTTGGGCTTCTGGCTTTTTATGAGGGTCGGGCTCAGGCCCAAGTTGTAGGCTTGTTGGTCGGGTCGGGCTCGGGCTTGAAAAAAATCTGTTAATGAAGAGTAAAAGCCCAAATTGAGCCCGACTTGGCCCAGCCCATGAACAAGTCTACTTGTAATGTAAATATTAATGTGTCTATACCTCTCATGGATCCTAAACATCTGCAGGATAACCTTATCACATTTCAACCATACCAATCTATCATCTAGGTCCACATTAGGCTTTCTATAATATACTTTATTAGTTGCATTGTAATGAAAATCTTTCACCATTAGCTATATCTCGATGAATGATAGAAGGTCACCATTAACATTATGGTTCATGAATACATCACCACTATTATATATCATTAGTGGCATGTTCAAAAAGTAACCACCATGGTGTATGTTAATATTGTACATCTCACTTGACTTATGGGCAAAAAACAAGCACAAGTCTCAATGTTAAAACCATATCAAATTTCATGTTGTTGTACGCTTCAATAAACTAAGAGATATATTAACTAAGAGAAACAACATTCAAGTGTATTAAAATCATTCCTCATTTATCAAGCAAGCTGTTAAATAGAAGTTTTGATTTCAATTTTGTTGAGTTTTAACTTTGTAATAGAATAGGGGC